GGGGGGAAAGGACCACTGGTGGAGGAAGGAGGGGAGTAAGAACCACTGGGGAAGGGGGGGTGAAGGAAGACAGGGGGAGAGGGGGTGGGGAGAAAGGACCACTGAGGGAGGGGAGGTAAGGGCCACTGAGGGAAGAGGGTGGAGGTCCACTAAGGGGTTTGGGAGAGGGAGGACCACTAAGGGGGGAAAGGACCACCAAAGGGGGGTAAGTAGGGAGGACCACTAAGGAGAGGGGAGGAGGGTTAGGACCACTAAGGGGGTGGGAGGATAATGACCACTGAGGGGAGGAGATTACCACTAAGGGGGTGGGGGGAGGAGGGGAATGTCTACTAAGGGGTTTGGGAGAGGGAGGACCACTAAGGGGGAGAGGGGGGAGTGAGAAGACCACCAAGGGGGGATTACAGGGGGCCAAGGGAGAGCACTAAGGGACAGAAGGGGAGAACATGGAGGGACAGGAGAGAAGGGGAAATCAATCATTGACAGGTGGGGAGAGCACTATGAAAAAAATAAAAAATAAAGAGCAGCTCCCCTCTCTGTCCCTATCCTACCCCACAAACCCTCTCTTACACTACATACATACACAATGCATCCCCCCCCCACACACACACACACAGAAACATACAATGCATTCCTACTCACACACAGACACACCCGCAACACACAATGCATCCCCTACGTTCACACAAACACTCATTCTCTTACACACAGAAACAAAATGCATCTCTTACACAATCAATGCACCCCTTACAGACACACACTGCATTCAATTAAATACACAGAAACACACCTTGCACCTTACACACACACACCCAGAAACATACAATGCATTACTTACACGCAAACACACACTGCATCCCCTATAAACACACTACATCCCTTACAGAAATTGGTATCCCTATACACTACATTCTATAAGAACACATACACATTGCATCCACTACAATAACACATAAAACATCCCCTACACACATACACTCCACTTCCTGTGAGAGAACTCATGGGTGGGCCATATAGCTGGATTTATGGGTGGGCATTGTAGGCATACTCACGGTCAAGCAGTGGGAGCCCAGACCTTGAGCTGTGTAAGGGACCCTAAAAAATGGAGCTGCTTCCTGTTCGTTAATTGTTGTGAGCACTGTTAAAAACACCAGACCTGTGGAGCCAGACAAAGCCCATCATCAGCCTCTTGTCCTCATCTGGTGGTAAGTAGGCAATCCAATATATTATTAGTGGCACTAATCTCTAATTTACCTCACATTAAATGGATACTATAGTCACCAGAAGCACTACAGCATAATGTAGTGGTTCTGGTGTCTATAGCCTGTGCCTGTAGGCTTTTTAATGTAAACACGCTGTCTTTTCAGATAAAAGACACTTTGTGAAGACTGGCGTTGGCCCATATGGCAGAGCATATGGGCGGGGCATTGTGATGTCACATGTGGGCAGGACATATGGGGGGGCAGCAAAAATTTTTTTGCCTAGGGCGGCAAAAATCCTTGCACCGGCCCTGGGTATAACATTAAGCTCTGAGGGGTTCCAGAGTCGTTGGGGATGACAGACCTACCCCATTTTATCCATCGGTTTCTGGTGGCCTTTCTCCCACCTAAGCATGCCAAGACCGTGAAGTTGGATGGTATGTTCAGCCTCTTTAGACCCTCAAGTACACCACCCTCTGTCTCTCCGGATCTCATAATCAGATTTCAGTCCCTACAGGACAAGGCCCTGCTCCTGGCAGCTGTGAGAAGGAAATCACCAGAAAGCTATACTGCTGCTTCTCCCAGATCTCACAAACACCTTAACCTGGCACCTGTCGCTCCGGCCCCTCTTACAGAGGTTATGGGCACAGGACATTCCTTACCAGTGGGGACTACCATGGACCATCATGTTCACCTGGCAGTGAACTTTATTTTATGCCCCGAGCAGCGCTGGCCACATTGTCCTCAAGAGCTGTGACCTGATAGAATGACCAACGATCAGACTATAGCCTCCAGTGTTCCTGCACTTCAAGTGCTTTATCTTCAATAACCACCGAAATTTACTGTCCTTGACTTTATTGTTCAGTTATTATTTTTGCTTCCATTTCCTCACCTTTGTTTTTAATTATAAAATCCAATAAACAGGTTGCGCAAAAAGGTGTGAAAAGATAGAATAAAATAATAATATAAAAATATTCACAATCCAAATATTGCAATCCCAACTGTTTCCGGATTTTTGGGGAATGTTGGTTCTTGGTTAAGGTGCGTGTAAATATAAGTAGGGAGACCCAAAATGACAAATAATAGTGCAGACTGTTTTGGCAGAAAAATAAGGACTCACAAAAGTAGTATATGAGGTAGCAATCACATGTTATGGAGCTTAAACTAGTTCTAAGTAAAATTGCTTGCAGCGGTACAATCCCCACTGATAGATATAACTTTTGAGGCGACTATCTTGATGTGCAGGTAGATATATGAAAAAAGAAAATATGCAATAGTGCTCACTGTGAACATAAATATGTGATACAGTACAAAATAAGGGAAATTTAACCATACTTACCATAATTTTCTTTTCCTCCCTATTTATCATTACAGCATCACTTATGGGTAGCTCCACCCTCAGAACCAGAGCAGAACAGGAAACAGAATTCAAATGAGACCAAGTGTATAAAGGGTCCCTCCTTCCTTCACACATCCGTCCATTATAAAGTCCAAAAAACACTAGGGACAGAACATGATGCTGCCATGATAAATGGCCAGGAAAAAAAATATGATAAGTATGGTTTAAATTTTCCTTATTCCTGGCTAATCATGGCAGCATCACTTATGGGTAATACCCATAATTTAAGGGTGGGAGAAAAAAGAAACTTTTACAATAATGATTGCAGCACCAAAGTGATTTATTCTACACTGTGAACAGAAGACAGAACACCTCTACCAAAATTAGTAGATGAATAGGCCAGATGATCCAACGTGTAGTGTTTAATAAATGTCCCTGGAGAAGACCAAGTGGCTGCCTTGCAGATATCATCCGGAGGCACCTCTGCCCAATTTGCCCAAGTTGTAGAAAGAGATCTTGTAGAATGAGCTCTGATCTTGGCCAGTGGAGTTTTATTATAATTTAGGTATGCATCTGCTATAACTGCTGTTATCCAACGTCTAAGTGTTGAAGAAGAGGCTGCTTCTCCTTTTCTGGAACCATTAGGTAAAATAAAAAAAGTTTTTCCGACTTCCTAAAGTCTTTAGTAGTTTCCAAATATTTTATTAAATACTCTCGAATATCCAGTTCATGAAGCTTCACCTTCTCTGGAGTTTGAGGATTCGGAAAGAATGATGGTAAAACTACTTCATGACCCGTGTGGAAATTAGATACCACTTTAGGTACTTTTGAACAGGTTTAAGAACAACTCTGTTTTGAAAGATTAGAGTATGAGAGTCTTGAGATAAAAAGGCTTGGAGTTCGGAAATACACTTAGCGGTTGTAATTGAAACCGGAAATAGTTTTGTAGGTTAGATGTTGGACAGAGATCTGTGAGAGAGGGGCATATGGTGGTTCCGTTAACACTTGAAGAACTAGAGAAGCTGTATTTCTTGCTGGGTGATTTATTCTCAAAGCTGCCTTGAAGAATCTTGAACTAAGAGGGTGTGAATCCAGGATGTATCGTGGAGCACAGATTAGGCTGAAGATTTGACCTTGAGCATACTTAGAATAAGTCCTTTATCCAGTACCAAATGTAAAAATTTCAGTATTTGAATGTGTGTAATGGATTTATAGGGTCAATTGAGACTGAACCAGCCTATGATTTGAATGTTTCCCAGATTTTG